CGTAATGCAGGTCCGGGCACTAGTAGTCAGCGTTGATCGAGCTTAGAGCAGACTGATCCGGAGATGGGGGTGAGCACACGGCGTTTTGTACTATTTCAGTCTCCATCTGTATATATATACTTGTCTTTTTCCTTTCGAGACAGTCCAGTCTATGTTGTCCACTTTTGGGACTTGTACTCATTTTGTTAGTAGCTCTGTACTAGTGACTTCCAGGTTCTGGGAGGGATCTTTATTTGTATATATGTTTTTGATTTGCTTCTGCCTGTTTATATTATTACTTGTCTACTCTTGTTTAGTTTCTACCCTCAGACCCATTACTTATTGTTTCGAGTTACGGGTTTGCTTACCTGCTGGTGGGTTATAGTAGGTGTCATCATGACTTGAGAAATCGGGTCGTGACAAGAGTCTTCTATTATGGTCAATTCTTGCCTTTTATTATTAAGTCACTTGTTGTTTTTATGAGGTTTTAGATTACAAAATAAAAGGTTATGGTGTTTATATGTTATTAAGTCAGTTTTTTTTTATCCTTTATCTTTAATGATGCTTTGTGTTTCCTAGATTGGTAAATCAATTGAAATTTTTATTTAACTAGTAAACATTGTTAAAGTGATCAATCAAAGAAAACCCACGGTACTCATTGCTTTTCTTTTTATTTTTTCATAGTATATATATATATATGAATAAACAAATTTGGCAATAATAATGTAGTCAAATTTAAAGAAGTGTTCGTCCAAGAATCATTTCTAAAGGTTTAAATATACTTTCTCTATCTCAATTTATATAAGTTAGTTTGACTTGACACAGAGTTTAAGAAAAAAAAAAGACCTTTGAAATTGGTGGTCTATAATAAGTCATAAATATTTATGTGGCTTGAAATTATTTCATTAAGGGTAAAATGGACATTTAAAATTAAAGAAACTACTTAAAGAAATCTATCATTCTTTTTAGTGATTAAAAAGGAAAGTGAGTCATATCAATTGAGACAGAGGGAAATGGAGTACTAATACCGGAAGATAAGGATGAGAATGCATCTAAAAGCTGAAAGTTTGTGGACTATTGTTGCAAATGGCTATGAAGAGCCAGAAAACGATGTTGAACTTAGAGATAAAAATCTTGAGGCTAAGTATCGTGAAGATGCAAAAGCCTTGACCAAAATTCAAATGGGAGTCTCAATAATATATTTTGCAAAAATTACTACTTCTGCGACTGCAAAATAAGTTTGGTAGTCTATAGAAACTGAGGTGTATGGTAACGGAAATGTACGCACTATAAATTTTCAAACTCTTATAAGAGAGTTTCAAAATTTGAAGATGATAGAATTTGAAAAAATAGATGAATATTGCACAAGAGTCGTGAATATTGTCAATGAAATAAGAAATCATGGTGATACAATTTGTGACCAACAAGTTATGAAAAAGATTCTAATAAGTGTCACAGAAAAGTATGAGTACATTGTTGTTATCACTGAGGAGATGAAAGATCTTTCTAAGTTTTTCATCAAAGAGCTAGTTGGATCATTTCGTGCACACGAGAAGCGAAAATTTTTTCATGAAGATCAACCCAAAGAGACAACTTTCCAGTCCAGAACCAATGAGAATTCTCATAATTTCTCAAAAAATAAACAAAAGAAGAATTACAATCCAAAAAAGAAGCAGGATCATGATGGTTCCTCTAAGAAGGTTGAAGAAAAATGAGAGAAAGGTTCTAGTCTTTTTAAAAAAAAAAATTGCAAAAAAACTAATCACAATGCAGAAAAATGTTGACACAAAGGCAAAACCCAATGTAACTTTTGTAAAGAGTTTGTCAACATTGAGAAGGATTACTGGCACAAGAAACGGGAGCAAGCATTTTTTTGTGAAGAACGGGAGGAAGAAAAGGAAGAAAACTTTTTCTTTGCTTCTCAATCTGATGCTTCAGCAAAAAGCAATGAATGGTATGTTGATAGAGGTTGTAGATTGGAGATAAAAAGGCTTTCCTCTCAATTAATAGTAGCATCACTATTAAAATGAGAATGGGATATGGAACCTTAGTTGATGCAAAAGGTAAAGGTACCATTTCGATCAATATAAAAGGGAGCGACAAGCAAATTTCATGATATTCTTTATTTTCCGACTTGGAAGAAAATGTGCTTAGTGTTGGTCAACTCATGAAAAATGGTTATCTCTTGTTCTTAGAGATAATTATCGCAAGATTTATGATAAAACTGAGCCAAATCAAGTCATTGTTGAAGTAGAGATGATAACAAGAAATTTTCCTTTACAGTGCATTCAAAAATGAAGTTGTAGATGATCATGGTTTTGGCACAAAAAAATTTCACTTGAATTTTCATGGTTTGAAGCTTCTCAAGTAAAAAGACATGGTTCAAAGCCTTCCTGAGATACATACTGAGATTAAGGTAGAGAATATTTCTATCATATCGTTAGATGTGTCAAACCAAGATGATGATGAGGAAAAGGAAGAGGAAGATGTCCCTCAAGAGGGAGAAATCTCAGATTCAGATGATGAAGAACCACCTCCAAGAGGAACAAAACTGTTTAGTGACATATATCAAAGATGCAACTTTGTCGGTGTTGAGCAAGAAAATTATGATGAGGCAATAAAGCATGACGTTTGAAAGAAAGCCATAGGAGAAGAAATTCAGATGATTGAGAAAAATAATATTTGGGAATGTGTAACTACACCCAAATAAAGAGAAGTTGTAAGTCTAAAATGGATTTACAAAACCAAACTCAATCAAGAAGGAGATATTCAAAAGCACAAAAGAAAGGCGAAATTCCGTTGCAATTATTGTCAGACATGAGAACAACTTGCTGACATCTTCACCAAAGCACTTCCAAGAGAAAAGCTTGCTATCTTCGAGAAGACATTGGAGTTGTCAAGCAAAATTCATTAAGGGGAGTGTTGGAATTAATGCATTCACACCTTGATGTTTGGTCTTCCAATATTGTCTCTTAGTTTTTAAAGAAATCTTTTAGAATTTTGTAATACATGTATCTAGTAAATTGTGATACATATATATATATATAGATAGATAGATAGATAGATAGATAGATAGTTATTTGTACAAGATCTTTGGTTTTACATTGTTGTTAGTATAAATAAAGTTGTAATTGATGATTCTAATCATCTCAAGTGGCCTGTAGCCTATATTAAACTTGAGCATTCACTGAGAAAGTGTCCTCCTTCTATATTTCCTACAATTTGCTATCAGAGCAGGCAAAGATCTTGAGATCGAATCTCACGCCACCCAAAATTATAAATAACTTACACGTGCTTGGCCCATGAAAAAAATTAGGCTCGCACGCAAGGGGGAGTGTTGAGAATATAATTAAATAATAAAAGTGTGCTCTCTCTAACAGCTTAAGCTTTTAGATGAGATGGTCACACACTTCGTCATGCGCAAACCGAATCAATAATACTATTTCACTCTAATCCCTTTACCCCAAAACATTTATCTCTATTTGTTGTTCACCCCAACTACCATCGCCTTTGGCTACTAACCGTATTCTCCACCAAAAGCAACGATAGCATCCGATGGTTTCAAGTCGTTGGAGCAAAAGTTATCGGTGGAATACATAAAACTTATTCTTTCTTTGATTTAATTTTTATACTAGATAAATCAATTAATCGATAACCCTATGAATAAATGTTAAGTCGAATCAAATCAAACTGATATCTTATTAGTTTGATAGCAATTTAGAACATATATAAAATCAAATTGAACCACCCCATAAGCATCTCTATAAGTAAGAGATTAGGCTGTAGTCTTTCCATTTTAGGCTCCAATCATCTCCATTTTCTCTCCCCCTATCTTCTGAAATAAGAACATGATTAAGTGAATTGTAATCGAAAGTTCATTGCAAAATTTAAGGGAAAAAACATTCAACTTCAAACCTTTGATGAGTTATAACCGTAGTGAGAGTTCACTTTTTCACTTTCAGATCACGTAGATTAAAAGGAATGGCCTATCAATGGCGAAATTACAACAAAATTACATGAACAATTAAACATTGAAGGTATTGTAATTAAAGACCCATTAAAAAGTTTCAAAGCTTTGAAATCAAATAAGGGAAATAATAGGTGTTTTCGAAATTGTTATTTGTTTAACCTTAGTGTTGTTAGTTGTTACCAACGATTAAAAATATTCTTTGGGGTTTATATCTCAATTCTAAAGGAGTTTGGCGATGATTAGAGTTAATTATTATTGAAACTTCATATTGAGACTTTAATAGGAAGACATAAATTAGTTGTATTTAAATTGTACGTAAAAATAGTATGTTTTGTCCGAATTTGTATACAACAAAAAACTATATGCAAAAAAATGTATGGAAATTATACATAGTTGTATGTTTTGACCAGATTTATACATATATATATAGAGAGAGAACACTTCTGCTAATTTTTGAAAATCAAAAAATCAAACTAGATAATGTAAATGTTGTCATATGTTTATAATTATAGGAAAAATCACCATAAACCTAAACATTTGTTTAGGTATATCAACTTATAATCGATTGCTATATTTTCACCATTAACAATTTATTAAATTACAGAAACAGACTTTAAAAGTATATAATTAAGTGTAAATAATAATTATGCCTCTAATATTGCGATAGTATAATTCTGCTCTTTGATGTACATGTCTATTTTGATAAAGGGTGTAAAAAATAAGCCTAAATATAGGTAATTCGATCAACTCGCCCATAATTTTAAGGGTTGGGGCTCAAGATAATTTAAATTAGGTTCAATCTCAACTAATCAAGTCTTAAAATCATTTTAAGTGAATCCTTAATTGAGCCCAATTTAATCTCCAATTTGATCAACCCGTTTTAAAATTCTTTATTTGCATTGATGTAACGTATATTCCTATATTGAAGGTATGAATTACTATCTATTTTGTATCTGTTAAGATTTATTTATCCATTTGTAACTTTAAAAAAAATGAGTAAAAATTCAAATTGTGATTATAAAAGTTAAATACAAGTCAAATTGGGCGGGTCATGACTCAATCCGAATTTTAAGCATATTTGAGCCCAAAGTAAACTTGAGCAGGTCATGACCCAACACAATTTCTATTTCAACTCATTTGACACCCCTAATTTTGATTAGCAGAAGCATAATTATATGTATATTATATAGACACAACCTTTGTGATGTGTCAGTGTTGTTACACCTTGAATTATAAAAGATAAATGTATTTATACCTAACTAAAGAAATATGGTAAACTCAGCAAACTTGTGTCTGCGGTTTCAACAAAAGAAACTTAAACCTTTAAACATTCAAATAAAAAAAATAAAAAAAAAGGGTGCAGGAATGAGAGATAATGTCTCTGTGTCAAGAATTAAAAAGTTTTTCAATTCTTGTTCATGGTGCGGTTCACATTATTTTTAATAGCATCTTTGGATTCTTCAGCCTTGCCTAGCACAGTGTCTTTCACTTTTTGGGTTGTGTCCTTAACTGATCCCCATGCTTCTTGGGCTGTTTCTTTTGCTTTTCCAGCCATGTCTTGTGCTGCATCCGCAACCTTTTCTCCCATTACCTTCGTTTTCCTCACCGCCTGTCAGATACATTTTGTCAATTAAATACTCATTAATTAGTACGAGGGTATTTATATCAGATTGATCTTCCTATGTACGTGTATCATATGTAATTTTATTCAATATCAATACATATTGGTGCAGGTAATTCTCATCATATGCCACGAGACTAATGTAGGAGATGACCAGAGTTGTACGTCCTTTGCTTTCTACCTCATCAGAAACGTTAAGAGTGTTAATAATTACCTCATCAGCAACAGAGGCAGTCTCATTTGTGACTTCTTGGGCGGCTTTTTTGGCCGTCTCAGCGCCTTGTTTCGCTGCATCGACTCCTTTTTCAGCTGCGTGGCGTGCCTCATCTTTAAATGCCATCCCTAGGTGTCGTTTACCTACCTGTTAATTACACACACATTTATCTAATTACATCATACTTCTAAAGATATAATCTTCAAATAGAGTTTTAACATACATTGCCAATAAATGTTGTTTATACTATTAGATTATTTGAAATGTAATCGCAAGTACTCCCTCCAATTCAAAAAAATGGTCTAGTTTGACTTGACACGCACATAGTTTAAGAAAATAAATAAGACTTTTCAATGTTGTGGTTTTAAAGTAAAGTTATGTCAAATATATCAAAATGACATTTAACCTGTGACTTAAACATGCCACGTAAAGTGTGACAAAAAAAAGGGTCATTTTTTTTAAACAGACCAAAAATGAAAGTAGATCATTGTTTTTTAAATGAAGGATATTATAAAATAACATTACTATTAAGCATGATCATCACCTGGAAAGGTTTGGGTGTTGCACCAAGAAAAACCCTAGTTCTTAAAGGCTTATGTCCTATGATAGCTCCTGCATTTTGGAGCTTTGTAAGAGTAGGTACTAGATTCATCATGCTTGCCATTTCTCTCTAATTTATTATTTTTTTTTTTCTTGAAATTGATTTGATATTTCTTTTTAATTTGTTTTACAAGTTGGAAGGGTTTGTACTATATAAATAGGAAGAGAGAGAGGTGAAAGTCCAGTATTTCTTACCTGTTTTCCGAATTTTAAGTTACCACTCAATAAAAACTTACGAGAGAAATGAACGGATCGCTCTCTTCTTCACTACCACTAATTAATCCTTTTAATTTTAATTTTAATTTGTCTAGAAGAAGATATATAAATAATGTAGCTTCCAAATTGAATTACATTTTGGGGAGTTGGGCATTTTATCACTTATTACAAGTGCAATTGTCGACATTAAACTGATATTAGGTGTAGACATTGAACTGATATTAGGGCATTTTATCACTTATTAGTCTATTCTCTAAGATAGTTACAAATTAATTAATAAATACTAAGAGTTCTAATAATTAATAATGGGTGTTTGGTATAACGAAAATGTTTTTCAATTTTTTCATGTTTGGTTGACTTAAATATTTTCCAAATTAACTTATTTTCCTCAAATTTAAGGAAAATGACTCATCTTTTAAAAAGTAAGAAAAACATTTTCCAAAACCTATTTTGAACCTAACACCTCAACTTTTCATCCTAATTCAAGTCTCGAGTATCGATTTTCTATACAAATCCTGAATCTGACTCTCTATTCGAGACCTGACTCTTGACCTAGATTCGAGACTTAACTAAGTTCTGGATTGAATCGTAGTCGAATCTCAAGTTAGGATTAGAGGTCAAATTTTGGTTTAGGTCGGGATCGGGTCCCGAATCAGATATTAGGATGGAGTATCAAGTTGGGTGTCAAAGTCGGATTTTGGGTTGAGAGTAGAGGTCGAGTGCTCAAATTATAATATTTGCACTGTATTCCAGAATTTTGAGATTTCATACCAGATGCCTTTAGTAACGACGAATCAAATCATTAAATGAGGACCAAAAATCTTAATCTAATCTTATCAAATCATGAATTGAGCCGGCCCAGTCCAATAGAGCTAGCTAGTCCATATTCACGATTTTATGCATCAGTTTGTGGGACAACCCAACTAACCCTAATAACATCACTGAGGTGATTTGTGTCTTATATATATTCAACAATTGACATTAGTCCATATCGACGATTCTATGCATAATTTTGCGCAAAAACCTAAATTACGCGTATAAGCAAATATATGCTAGTTAATTACTTAACATAGCTATAGTTTGTCTTAATTACAAGTTACGGTCTACTTTAAGCTATAATTACACGGCTCAGTTTTTTAGTTTTGTATAATTCGCATGTTTGTATAATTCGTAATTTGTATAATTTTTGTATAATTCGAAATTTGTATAATATAATTTGTATAACTGTTTACACTTCTGATGTTTGTAATTGTATAAATTCGTTATTTCGAGTTTATACAAAATAACTAAATTATAAAAATGTACCCGCGAATTATACAAATGAGGCAGCTTATATTGTAGCTACAGTCCGTAAATATGCAAACTATATCTATAGACCATAATTAAGTTTATTATAGTAGCTATTTGTGAAAGTTTCTCTAATATCAATGAGGTGGTTTGAATCTTATATATATATATATATATATATATATATATATATATATATATCCAACAATTGAAATGTTAACGGGTTCATACCATCAACAACACATACATAAAACCTCACTAAATTAATATAGGTGGGACCATGAAATATTATTATTTTATAAATATATTATTTAATCAATAAATTAATATTTATTAATTTAAAGAGTGTTTTGTGAAAATGTCATTCATGAACTTGAGTTCATGATTAATCATTCCGGTTACCGCTAAAAGGTTGACGTCAATAACCTTTTGGATTACTCGGATGAAAGAGATACATGTACAGAAGTTCATTACTTAGAAGAAATTGTGGATACCATCGAAAAAAAATAATGTTGATGATGAAGTTGAAGATGATACAATACCTTTTTGCAACCAGTTACGCGTAAGGAAACACTTATCAGATCTAGAACTCTTCGCAATTTTATGCTGAAGTTTGAAAAGACAACACCAGAATTTTTTTATGCAATAAGAAAAGTTAGAGATCAGCTTCAGCTAGATTTAAATTTTAACAATAAAAAACACAAATAGAATCATATTTCACTAAATTGTCTTAAACATATTATACTTGTAAAGGTTATTGATTTATAATATTTATGGAATCATATATTTATATAGGGGTCTTCTAAAAATATATTGCTCCCTCTATCTCAATTTATGTGCCACTTTTTATTTTTCGAGAGTGAAATAGTTTAAGTTTGACTGGAAATTTGCGCATGGAATCTTCATTTTTTTCGAAATGAAATTTATATATTTGTAAACTACGTAAAAAGTACTATAAGTCACAATAGTTGATAATTCAAAATGTTTAAAAGATCTAGAAAAAAATTACGGTCAAAGATAGACTTGTTTGAATCTCGAAATCTGAAAAGTGTAACATAAAATGGGACGGAGGGAGTATCTTATTATCTTATCAAAATGAGTGATTCTTTCCATTGGCCCAAGTCGGGACTTGAAGAAAATATTATCTTAGAGAGATTAATAATTTACCGAGTATTAATTTAGTGAGGTTTTACTGTATATTAAATACTTAATTATTTTTGTATATTTATTATTTTAGTTTTTTACTTGGTGTTCAATATTTACATTGAAGCCCGATTAAATTCATACGTATGTATGAATATGTTTCGCTAAAATTCTGGCTCCGTACATACGTATAAATATGTTAGATCATTATTAGATTTATGAAAAGAAGAGTAATTAACCTTAGAAGAGTTTCGATTTTGGTAGGTCCCCACCATATAATTATGGGAAAAAGGACAAATATACTCCGGAACTATCGTAAATGGTATGTAGATACCCTCCGTCATACTTTTGGGGCATTGGTGCCCTTGCCGTCCAAAAACTAGAACATATATGCCCTTCACTCTAACGGAAGACTAATTAGGGACACGTGACACAATTTTATCTGTCGATCCGATATTTAATAAATGTCTGGTCAGTGGATAAGATTATAGCACGTGTATGTCCGTTAGTATAAAGGGTATGCTCTAGTTTTTAGACGACAGAAACACTAATGTCCCAAAAGTATGACGGAAGGTATCTGCATATTATTAACAATAGTTCAGGGATATTTATCTTTTTTCCCTATAATTAAACGTTCAGTTTGAATTCATTTGGTGTGTGTAGTTGGGGCATAATAATGATAAATAGGAAGAGTTATACTTAGCATAGAATTCATGTTGCACAAGAGGGGGGAAAACTTAAAGTGGATGCAATATCTTTACTAACAGCCAGCAACTTACTGACAAAAGCATTTACTAGTAGCCTTTGAAGGGGTCTTCCTCAGAAAGCAAAGCTGTCATTTTTATTACTTAGCTCTGTGGAAAAATTTTAATATGGTTGAGGCACAACCAACAATAATTGTATGAGACTCCATTCAATTTTTGACACTTAAATTTATGAGCTCATTTTAACACCACACACTCTCTCACCTTATTTTCCCCCAAATTCCCCCCTTTTCCTTCAAAGTATTTTAGTTCTTTTCTGTACAATATTCTTCTCTTTTTCACTTTTTTTTTTAATTCTTTGTGCTCTTTATTAATTAGTAACTTGATTAGCTCTTTCTTTCCCATTAATCATTTCTGTCCCTCAACTAAATCAATTTAAAAAATTGCCACCTCTCAACCAATTCAACTACAACATAATTATTCCTCGTAGCCTTAGAAAAAAAATCTTTGAAAATTTTCATTACATCTCAAAAAATTGAATAAAATCCCTAGGATACCTTTAAAAGATAAATTTTGACTGAGAAATTCACACACTTTATATTTGTATTAAAAAGTATTCACTGAATATCGAAAATTGAACTAAATAAAAATCTAGTCAAATTGAATATTTCTTCTACTTTAATTTATTTTTAAAAATTTGACATAATCAGTTTTGGTTTTAAAGTAAAAATAAATCGAAAAACCACCAATGCTTAAAAAATTTGACACAATGCTTAATTTATTTTCAAGAATCAATTGGTTCCATATAATTTTAAATTAACTACTCATTATATTATTATTATTATAATAGTAATAATAATAATAATAATAATAATATAATAATAATAATAATAATAATAACAACAACAACAACATTCAGCCTTAATATTATTAGAATTCATTTTTCATATCTTTACGTACATTCAGTTATACTATATATTTCCCAACATTTTTCTATTAAGTATTTTAAAAAATTATAACTTAAATTAAGAAAAATAATGGATACTCTCTGTTAAGAGAATGACTATAATATATGAACTAAAACAGAATTAAAGTAACAATGACTATAAATATATGAACTAAAACAGTATTAAAAAAAAATATGAAAACTAAATTTGAATTAATTTGTTTTTTTAGGTGCTAGTAATTGAGAAAACACTAAATATTTTTTTAGTTAATTTGATATTATTAAAAATATTGAATGATATGAGGATTTTAAAAACTCAGTCCTAAAAACGTTTTTAGTTATTGTGATAAAAAAAATATTTATTAATTTGTTTATTCAATATATCAACATCTTAAGAAAATGGAATTAAAAAATATTTATTAGGAGTAAGAAAATAAGAAAATGAATGAAAAGAAGGGTGAGTATGAGAGAGATAGTAAAAAGATAAAGAAGTAGACATATTATTCAAGTATCAATTAATCAATAGAGGATCACACAATTATTATTGATTGGACCTCTACATTGTAAAATTATTCTGCTCTCTGCATAAGAAGAAAATGAACAACTGTTTCCCTCTGCCCAATCATAAATTTCATATGTTTAAATGCCTTTTAAATCGTTTTCATGGAGTTAGTTTCACAAATCAAATACTCCCACTCTCTCTAAAGGGCACTAAATGCACTGATAAGTCGGTAGAGTGTATAAAAATAATACTAAAAATGGTGTATTAGTAAATTTTACATTAGTTATGCTTGAGATTATATTTTATATAGTGTTTGAGTTGATTCGTTATATTTTAAAAATAATATGCATTGCATTATTTATAAAAAAGGGAATATTTATTTATAAAAATATCCTTCACAAATATAATGGAACAGATATGGAAAAGATTTTGAGGGATAATTGTGTTTTGAGGGTCGGTTCGGTTTTATGTATTATCAGTTCGCTTTATTGGTTTTCAATTTTTTAATATGCTAAATCAATAAGAAAATGCTTATAAAACAAATATATGATTTTTCCAATAATTTGTCGCGACAAGATAATAATGTAACTCTAATACAGAACGCTCATAAAATAGAAACAATAATAACTAACATGAAAAGAATTATACAAATGCAATATAAAGCGAAGTTAAGAGGAATATAATATTTACTTTAGGTATTAACAATTTGTATAATGTAAAGTTGTGAACTCAACGTCATTGTGAAGTATAAATTGAAGGTTAAAGGGTAAATGCAATAACTAGTAAGTTACTTAGATTATATTTAATATTTATGAAGGGATAAAGTAATAAATTACTACATTCTTAATGATTTTCGATTTAACCAATAACCCAAAATTTAAAAATAAAATCAAATTGATTATCTGATAAACTTTTTATAAAATCATTAAAAATCTATTAACCTAATAACAATAAACTTATAACATTTTTTGGATTCGATTTATCGATCGGTTTGAAATGACTGGTGAACCCCACACAATAATGTCAAATAAATAATTTCCTTAGCTAAGTATGATTTGGCATATATATGTCTCACACAGGTAAAATAATTTATTTTAAAAAAAAAAAACCATTAGTGTAAGCAGGTCCCAGACAGAGGGTCCACAGGCGGGTAGCTCAGTAATAACCAATGGATCATCTATTTAACACAACGCTTTATTTTGACCTATACACCTTTCTGAACTAAACAAAAATAAATATTTTAAAATGTGCATGTTAATTGTTAAAGACTGGAGCCAAAACAACAAGAAAATTAACAAAAAATTTTAAAAAGACAACAAAATTGAGTTGAGAATAAAAGGGAAATACTTAAACGGTTTAACAAACGTCGATTAAATTAGGGAAAAAGGAGCGCCTTACAAGGCTCAAGCTCCTGCGCCTCTTTCCTTTATTTTTTTTTAGTTTATGTTTTAAAATTTTTTTTAGTTAGTTTATTTTTTCCTTTTGATTTTTGTTTTTTATTTTGAAGTTGTTCCTATTTATTTTGCATGTAATTTTTATATTTTTTTTAGCAACTTACTCATTTCGATTTTTTAGGTAAAATTTTATTAATTCAAGTTTGAAAAATATCATTTTATATTTGCTAAAAAATTATAAAAATCACATGCAAAATAAATAAAAACAACTTCAAAGAATAACTTTAAAATAAAAAACAAAAATTAAAAGAAAAAACTAAAAAAAAAAAAGGAAGAGAAAAAACTAACTAAAAAACACTTAAAAAAAAGAAAAGAAAAGAGGCACAGGGGCCTTGCGCCTTGTAAGGCTTCACACCCATGCGCCTTATATGGCGCATCGTACTTCACCCTAAATAATTTTTCTCTAATTTAGATGTTGTTTGTTATGCCTCCACCCTAAATAATTTTTAATAGTCAACAAAAAGAAAATAAATATCCCTCCAGTCTACACCCTAAATTATAGTTATATACCGTTTAATTTGTTTCAAAATATTTGGTGTTTTAAAAGTATATATATGAAGCTACTAGTTGGTGATGTTTTAACTTTTATTAAGTGAAACTTTTAATTAAAACGGTTAAATGTGTTAGTGATGTATATATATATGAAGAGTATTTCACTTATAATTAAAACGGTTAAATGTGATAGTGATGTATATATGAAGAGTATTTCACTTATAATTAAAACGCTTAAATGTGATAGTGATGTATATATGAAGAGCATTTCACTTATAATTAAAACGGTTAAATGTCTTTATAGTGTTTGACCACAATTTTTAAATATTTTTGGCAAGTTATTTTTTACTCATATTTTGGGTAAAGTTTCATCATGTGTTTGGTTATAGATTTTGGGAGAAATATTTTACTTTTTATAAGAAAAATGATTTCTACCCATAAGTTTTAAAAATTATTAAAATTCTCATAAGTTTGTATTATCATTTTATAATGAAAATGTCTTGTGAAAAGTCATGACAACAAACATAATTAATAAGAATTTGAAAAAAAAATAAAAGGAAAATTATATTGATTTGTATACGAAAAACTACTATTACTATCTGTAATTGGAAGTGATTTTTCAGAGTTTGTTGTATAAAATATGCATATAACGATATAAATTTTGTACAACAAACAAGGAATGAAATTTAGTCAAAAATTATAAATCATGGTGTTTTTATAAAATATAAAAATTTGGAGGATTGTTGAAAAATTTCCAAATACTAGAATTTGGCCCAATTTTTTTAAAAACATGAATGTTTGTCAAATATATTTGCTAAGTAATGACAAATTATATGGTTAAGAACTAATTTTTCAAAATTTTCTCAAATATATTTGTTGTCAAACAGAGTCTTAAGGCCTAAAGAGGTGTCCAAAAGTTTAAAAGACAAACACTAAAATAAAAGTTTTCTGATATAAGTAGAGAACAATTCAGCAAGGTGTCATTTGTTTTCATTAAGATTAACACGTATGAATTTGAATGTACATATGAATATTATATATTTTTATATGGTAATTAGTGGTGGTGATGATGACCAGGGGCGGACCTACAGTGGTTCAAGTGGGTTCATATGAACCCACTTCGTTGAAAAATAACACTGTATATATATGTATATTTAATCAGATTTTAAAATTTTATATGCATATATTAAATTTTGAACCCACTAACACAAGTCTGAAGCTTAGCCGAGTGGTTGAGGGGGTTCAATTTTCCCAGCCAACCCGGGATCGAATCCCCATTGCCACATTTTAATTTTAATTCTTTTTTTGAATATATAAAACGTTCACACACAGTTTTGTCCTCTATGTAGGTGTAACTTTTGTCCTTTTAGTTACTTAGAAACTATAAAAAGTAGAACAACTTTTTACTTTTACAATTAAAAGTCCAATAGTCAACAACTTTTGTCCTTTTTGTTTTTAATTTTTTTTAAAGAAAAAAAGCTCAACTAAAAAGGCACTAATCCCTATTATTCTTAATTCTAAAAACCCTTTTGTCTTCTTCTTTGTTGAAATCTTCTTGAACCTCTCTTACTTTTCCCCCCAAAATTTTGAGCATATTTTTTTATTGAAGGAAAAAAACTCTCCCCGTCTCTCAAATCTCGCACAATAGTCAATATCCATCAAGTATGTTTTTCTCTCTTGATTCTAGTCTTTATATATACATATATGATTATTGTGGTTATTTTTTATTTCTTCAACTAAAAAATCCCTTATCATTCGAAAATCAACAAAAAATTACAAATAATATTAGGTATATTTCTATGTATTCGATTATGAAATTAAGGTTATAATTATTTTGTTTAATATTTTGTTTTTATTTGTTAAATGTTGAATGAAGAGAAATCATTCATAATATTCTTTTATCTTCTTAGTTTATATTGAAGCCTAGTTTTTCGTCCATCTTGTTATTTACCGTCTCATTCATAAGTCAATGTAATTTTTTTTCAAATGTATTAACATTGTTTAGTACAGTCAGATATGTATGTTGTTAGCCTCATAAAAATTACAAATAATATTAGGTATATTTTTATATCTTGAACCCACTTCGTGAAAATTCTAGGTCTGCTACTGATGATGACTAACGATGGTGAATGTGTGTAGATTTGGAATGATGTTGACTGATGATGATGGTTGGAGACAGTATCTTATGTCTAGTGATTGGCATTAGCGACTAAATGTGGTTGTTGTTGGTGGAATGATACTAATAGCTAATGGTGATGGTGAATATTGATGAAGGCGGTTAGCGATAATAATGGTGATAAATGTCGGTAGTGATTAGTAAGTGTAATAAGGTTTGGTGGTGATGATTGCAAATGATGGCTAAATGACGATTGATTTTTATAATTGACGATAGTGGTGCATGATTGTGGTTGGGGCTGAGGGTGGTGGTTGTTGATGGTGATTCACAGTGGTGATGATTGTGGGTCATGGATAAAAATAGATAGAGTAGCAGTAAAATGTCATCTTTGTATAAATTCTTAAATAAACATCTTAATGATACCAAAATTTTGTTAAAAATCTTAATGTCCTATTCTTCAGACTCATTAAGTGGTTGTAAAATAAGAAAAACAAATACACTTAATAATTAAGATTTGAAGGGTTAATAATATTCAGAATTTCAAAACAAATAGACTCAATGACTGAACCTTCGCATTGATTGTCTTCTCTTACACAAACAATACTTGCCTAAACTATATACAAACACTTTTTGAAATAATATTACCTTCTTAACTATCAAATGTCAAAAAGTTACTTATTTTACCAAAAATAAAATAAAATTGAGGAAAGAATATTTTGTGGGAAAATATATTTTTCCTTTGCCAAACAAACACAAGGGTTTCTCCAACTCCTTGAACAAGTGGTTACAAGATGTATACAGATAGAGGCATTGAATTCCATTAAATGTTTGTATTCATTCCTCCACCAACCCATTTTCTGCCTATAAAAGGATACTCAAGGAAACACCACTTCATCACTCATCAATCAACAAGTGTAAAGGCATAGGATAAAGAAAAGTAAAGTTATTTAGGCAATAATAGGAAGTGATGACAAACAAGTTGTCCATAGTTATTCTTTGTCTTGCTTTGGTAGTGGTACATACCACAGCATCAAGAGACATGCCAAGTGACAATGGTCTTACTGACCAAAAGAATGTTTTTGTAGGAGCTGGAGGTATCGGTGGCATTGGAAGCAATGGACTGCCTTTTGGTGGAGTTGTTAGCGGAGTAGGTGGCGATGTTGGTGGATTTGGTGCTGGAATTGGTGGTGGAGCTGGATTTGGTGGAGGAATTGGGGGTGGTGGACTAGGTGGAATAGGTGGAGTAGGAGGACTAGGTGGTATTGGTGGCGGTGCTGGTGGTGGTGCAGGAAGTCTTCCACTTCCATGAAGATTATTCATCACTTTCATGTAACTAAGTTTTATTCTTATCTTTATAATTAGTTCAAGTTTGTTTCATGCATGTCAAGTTTGCTTGCTACTAGTGTGAGAAAGAGTGTTTTATTTTTATTTTTTAGGTTGTTGATGTTTGGATTTATTCATATTGTAATGTTACGTGATTTTTCCTGTGTTCAATGAAATGTAAGTGTTATTGCACTTCTTTAATTTCTTTTAAAGTCTCACTTTTGTACGTTTCTTATGTTTACTTTGATATGGTTGATGAAGTAGTACCTAGGTGTAAAAAAATCTTGTGGTTTGGTGGAGCTAACCACAAACACAACATAAATAACATGAAAATAATTATGTAGTCCAAAAATAGCTGGTGACCTGAGGTGTTCCTGAACATAACAGATTGGAATAGAGCTACAATCCATAAACAATTTTGAAATCTCTACATGAAAAAAAGATAGACTATAGATCCAATGTAGTTATGATATGCATACTACATCAAGGGAGGGGGAGGAGGGGGGGGGGGGGGGGGGTAACGTTTGGCACACAAATGCTCCCCATTGGATAATAAAGAGGATATTTAAGGCAAAGGAGAGTACTCTCGAAGCTGTTGAATATGAGGAACATGAATTGATAATTATGGAAAAGTTTAGTACAAAGCTAATATACTCTAAATTGAGGGGTATTACACCAAAATTAATTGGAGAAGACAAGTGTGTGATAACCCTAGAGGCTCAAAATGGATTTTTGTACTATTTTTAGTTACTTGAAAGAGATTATGACTAGAGACAGACTAGCAAAATGAGATCAAAGTTGTCTACACTTAATTAATTATTACCCTTAGAAATTGATCTTACAATTTTATACATGATGTAATTTGTGAACCTTGACTGAGAAGTGCTGCGGCTGTCCAACATTACTCTTTTTGCCTTCAATTCTCACTTTGGCAATAAAATCAAGCTAGTTATTACAAAAAAAAAAAAAAAAAATTGACATGATATATATACACCACTTGAACCAAATAGAAATATTAATAAGCACACTAAACAATTAATGAATAATAATATAACAAGATAAATAGAAATATTAACTTGTACTAATATTTATATACGATGGTTTAAGTAGATTTTAGGTTTATATTCCTCTTATTATTTACGTTTTTTTAGTATTCCAACTTTATTTATATTTTTAAATTACTTTTTTATTTGATCTACGGGTCGGTCCAACCCAAATTACTTACACCTACGATCTAGCAGACTTACTCAAGTCGAGCTAAAAAGTCATATTCTTAAAAGAATACCAAAAACTAAATCCAATCTTTTCAAATCATGAATTGGGTTTGACCGGCCCAATATACCTAACCCATATTAACGGTTCTATGCATTATTTTGTGCGACAACCAAACTTACCCTAATAATATCAATGAGATGGTTGGTGTCTTATATGTATCCATCAATTGAAACATGTTTTTAAGACCTCATTTATTGGCACTTACTAGATGTCTGAATCTGAATCATTTAAATATTAGACCATTAAGTGCATTTATTTTTATTAAGATTTTAAGCACTTAATGGGTCTTTCTTTTTAAAACAATTGTCTTGTCATTGCCATTAATGTGGATTACAAAAGAGGATGGAGGACTTTACCATGCCTTCCTAATCAGATTTGCATAATATACGAGCACAAAGGAGGCACAAACAATGTCAAACACATAGAAGCACCTCAAGGAGGCTAAAAAAAATCATACTCGGTTTTCTTTTTTTACTCTGAAGGAGAGAAATTGCCATTTTTCAATGTTTAGTAGGCCTCTAATCTACCTGGGAATAGTGCTAGGTTGGGTAAATACTTTAAATTCCTCAACAACTTGTCTCATTGAGGCCAATTTATCGGCTACATGATTTGCTTCCCTAGAACAATGGTTAATAATTACATCATGTCTCTGAATAAATCTTCTAGTCTCCTCCACTGATTCCTTAATCCTCTATTGAGCGGATCAACTATTATTAATACAATTTTGAAGGAGTAGAGAATCAGTCTCAATAATTAATGATGAGATTATGACCATTGTTAATACACCATCTAAGTCCAAAGAGGAACACATTTGTTTCTGCAATGTTGTTAGTGCCACTTCCAAGTGGGAGGATGAAGATCATCAAACATGTACCCATGGAATCTCTCACTATTCCACCACCTCTGGTAGAATTTCCAACATATGAACCATCAGAGTTCATTTTCCCAAATAAGAGAGGGGGTTTCAACCACCTCACAGGTACAGAGCTAGTATCAACTATGTTAAGTTTCATGAGCTTCAATAAATTAATTCTCTCATTTTTCAAGTATATTAAGATTTGTAAAAAAATTCTTCGACAATTGACACATGTTGAAAGATATGCGGGACGTAGATCTAATGATGGAGGGCTTTTCTTCCTCATATCTAGAGTTACACCTTGATCTTCATAGTTCCCATATTAAAACATGAGGGAGAATTTTACAACATAGTACTAATTTTTGGTGGTACAATTTCAACAACTTTGAATTGAATCCCAAAGTTTGATATTCCTGGTACTACTGATACTCATTCTTCCTAAAAAAAGAACTCCATAATAACGGTGCAAAATGGCCTAAGCAGAAGAGATGTTCAGCGGTCTCCATCCCCAATTTCATACCAATTATGGTACACTTGCAAGTTTGGGCTAGCAATTCATTTTCTTCATTAGAAAATGAAACTACCGATTTATTGTTTAGAAAGTTGTGAATTCTTGGTGATAGTCAAACTTTGGGTCTTTGAGCATTTCGATTCCTTGCAAGATTGGCATAGGACATTTTAGTGTTTTCAGCCCCTTTATTTGCCAATGAATGAGAAGATTTTGCTTTGCTAGAACTAGGGGTTGATTATAAATGGTTGAAGGATTTTAGGTAACTGGGTAGCCTGATTTAGGAGCTGGCAGGGGTGGGAAGTGAACAGTAAGAGTGGAAAACTTTGGATTTAGGGATAAAAAAGGATGAAAAGCCATCGAAGGGGGAACATCAAGGACCGGGAGCTCCACGGTGAGGAACATGAGCTCGCCGAAATCTACCAAAAGGCTAAGCAACGGTCAATTTTTTAAGAGAGAGAAAAGAAGAGATAAGTATTTATGTTGGTGATGATTCTACTTCGCTTAGTTTTATTATATATAACTGAATAGGACTTAATCATTAAGATCTAGAAAAAAGTCTTAATATCATTAATAGGCATTCTTTGTGGATAATATTCACCATTATTCTATCAACAATCACCAACCATCACCACTAATCACCTCGTCATCACAATTACCACCATTGTCAACCACTAGCTATTATCTTTGTCTACTATCAACCACCACCATTGCTAACTACTACTACCAGTTGCTACCACACTTACTGTTGACACCAAATTTTGGTCTGATATTTCTAAAGTTAATACTTTTTAAGTATTTATTTTTTAAATAGTTCAAAATACATGTTTTGCCATTTTAATGCAATTTGTTGATAATTATCCTTATTCTCAAAGTATTAGGATTTTTATTGGTTAATTCTGTTTATATTATTTTGTCAAAACCGGTTGAATACGTTCAAATATTTGTTCACTTTTTATAAAATCAATATTTCTGTTAAATTACATTTTTTTACATGTCATTGGTTACGTTCATTACATTTTTCATATTCATTTTCTCTGTAACATTTGTTAATATTTATTTTGATATTTTGCACAGTTCAGGAATTCATAGATAATATTTCATACACAAATATTTTATTAACCGATATTTTGACCCACGGTTTTAAAATAGTGATATTGTACTATTGGAAGTTTTCAATTCCCTATTTAAAGAAAAGCTTGTTCACTAGGTTAAAGGGTGGTGGATAAGATTTTTAGGGGGTAATTTACAGATTTTTTATTCTTTAGTTGTTCATTATTTTTCGGCAAGTCGTCGGAGTTCCACTGGAATCCAGCGAGTCCACCACCAAAATCACTTTGTTTTTTTCTTGTTCTTCCGGTGAAATAGTTGCTGGAAACAACTCCAAATAACAACCAGGCATCTCCAGTCACCACCTTCCTTCCCTATTTCTTCTCCAGTAGCTACAGACCATGTCCAACACTTACCTCCTCTATTATTATGATTATATCCATTGCCACCACTACCCCATCTCTCTAGCCACCGCCAACTCTACCACCACTATTATCACGCTATAGCAATTCCTACTAAATAAGCTTTTTCATCACAACTAGCACCGCTGCCAACTACCACCATACACTCTTCAGTCATCATCACCAATATTGTCACCTTCACATCCACCACAACTATCAACCACTTCACCACTATGATCAATCTCTACTACCAGCGACCTCCATCATCATAAGTAGCACCGCCGCCAACTACCACAAACACTTCACCAACCACTACACTTTCGTTTTTCATCACCATTAACACAGTCAACAACTAACATCAACACCACCAACTACTAACATCAATCAATTTCATCATTATAACTACCAACACCACTACCATTCATCACCATTATGTTAGTTATCACAACACCAACCACTCCCACCATCACAACTATCACCATCATCATTACTAATTTACTAGCTACTAACAACAACTATTATTATCAGCACCATCACTAGCGAGTATAAGTGTTTCATTTTTTTATCAAATAATAATTTTATTTTTTAAATTCATTTTTAATATTTAATTAATTTTTATTTGAATTGTATATTTATTATGTACATATAAATAATTTATGTACATTCAAATGTTTAAAAACAAATTGTCCTAATTATTCAGTGTTTAGATATAACGACCACATCTTAATTATTCAGATTTACACTACTAAATCTTAGGGCCCGTTTGGCCATAGATTTCCCAAGTAATATTTGGGGAGGGAGGGGGGGGGGATTTGGAAAATAGTGTTTATTTATACAATTTGTCATTATTTGACAATATTTTTTGGCAAATATTCCAAATTCCCAAATACTAGTTTTTTTCTAGTATTTGGACCAAATCTCATTATTTGGGATCTTTTAAAAATTAAAATTTTACACCAAACTTTTATATTTTACAAAAACACCCTCTATAGTAGTTATTTGCGTTGTATTACATAATTTTTTACGTGAACACCAAAATAGTTATGAAATATTCAGTGAATATGAAATTGATGATATGGTTGTTGATGAAAATGATGAACAATTGGCCCATGGTAACAAAGTCATGTGATTTGTCTACTTCACGATGTATGAAATGATGTTTGTTGCACTCACTCCAAACTACCACATTGTTCCAATGTCATGGACACTAGTTATTTGTTGCAACGAAGATCCATTGACTTCTAATACAAACTTATGGTTAGTTTTGATAGTTTTTAAAACTTATGGGTATAAATCACATTTTTCTTAAAAAGTCAAATATGTTTCTCAAATACTATGACCAAACACATGGTGAAATTTCACCCAAATAATATTTACCAAAAATATTTGAAAATCTATGGTCAAATGCTAGCTTAATGAAAACAAATGAGACCTAACTGAATCATATAATAAGGTCACGTTCAATTAGCCACATAGGCGCGACCCCATATTCGACCCAAACTAACTAGCAGCAGTGGAATATATGATACTAGCAACAATATATATTAAATTCTTAATCATTATTTTTTGGGAAAAAGATAAATATATCCCTGAACTATCATAAATACTATTTAAATATCCTCTGTTATACTTTTGGGACAGTACTGCTCTTGTTGTCTAATTTTTGGAGTGTATATATCCTTTGTACTGACAGGGGGACATATGTCTCAATCTTAAAGACCTATCCGAAATTTATTTGATTTTTACCCATAATTAAAAGACTCACCCAACAAATTCAAAACTCGTCCAAATAACTAAGATCCAACCCAAATTATAAGCCAAAATTTTCATATGCCCATCTCAAAAATAAAAATAATTTTCATTCCTAAAAGAACTCAAATCTTGATACCACAGACCACAAGGTACATCTCAAACGAAGAGCAATACATTGAAGCATATCAAAGAATCAAATCGGAAACAAAACTACATCAATAAACTTTCAAATTCCATGGAAAAAATCAATCTTGGGTAAGAATTTACTCTACTTCAACCAACAAATTACAAGCCCTAATATGCTTAAAGAAGTAATGGAACACTTTGAAGACCAAATCGATTAAAAGATCAAAATTTTATCAGAAATCTCAACAACTTACTATCATCGGGTCAGATCTAAGCCCATCACTAAATTAGAAGACAAATTCAAAAATCGAAATGCTCCAAAAAAAAAGAACTAATCTTTTTCTAGGTCTATTTCCATGGCAGTTGAAGCAAGACATCTTAGTCTTTTCACTCAACAACAACAACATATCATTTCAAATCAAAGAAATGAGTTTTCCTACAATACCCAGATGAGGTTCTTCTCTTTTGCCGTTGCCAACGCCGGAATTGTTTTTTGCCCTTTTTGTGCGATTCCGTTCAAATTAAAATGTCTCATGAAATTTGATATAAGGTCTAATTTAGGGTATTAAATGGCTAATGAAAGTGAAGATTTTTGGGGTGTTTTTGGATTATAATTTGAGTGTGGGTTTCTAAGTTATTTGGGTGAGTTTTGAATTTGTTAGGTGAGTCTTTTAATGATGGCTAAAAATCAAATAAATTTTGGGTAGGTCTTTAAGAGTGAGGTATGAGTCCATCCGTTAGTCCAAAAGTATATATATACTCCAAAAATTAAACGGCAAGGGCATTAGTGTCATAAAAGTATAATAGAGGGTATTTAGATACCATTTATAATAACTCAGAGGTATATTTGTCCTTGTTTCCTTATTTTTTTTATGTCCTGCTCAGTGTTTGATATTGATATTGAAATTCGACTAAATCCATACATACATATGAATATGTTTTGTTAAAATTCTAGCTCTGTACACATGTATGAATATGTTAGGTTGTTAGATTTATGAAAAAAAATTAACTTCAGAGGAGTCTTGCTTTTGGTAGGTACCCACCATATAATTAAACGTTCAGTTTGAATTCGTTAGGTTTGTGCAGTTGGGGCATGATAGGAAGAGTCATAATTATCATAGAATTCATGTTGCAGTAGAAGGGAGGGATTAAGAGTATGTTTGGATTAGCTTAAAAATTAATCAAACTTACTTTTAAGTTATTTTTAGCTTTTAAGTGGATGGGATATGTTAACAAGAGCCAAGAACTTACTGGAAAAAACATTTACTACTACGCATTGAAGGGGTCTTCACTACATAAAATATGATCATTAGCGGTAATTAATTAATGACTATAGTTTAATTGTTGCTAAATATGTATTTTTAGCGGCAATAAACACTCTTTGTATATGTCCCTAAAGCGTTTAGCGACATTGATTCTAATGACACTTAACTAATGCCGGTAAAAACTTTAGCACTCCTTATTAATGTCTATATTTATTATCGCTAAAGGTTGTTTTTGTTGTAGTGCTTCCTAATCACTCCTCAGTTGAGAGCATTAGCTGTCAGTTTTATTTCTACTATATTATATCTGCAAAAGAAGAAAATGTCATTTGATGAAAGTTGTTTTCAAATGTTTAAATGTCTGTATTCATTCCTCCACCAACCCATTTTCTGCCTATAAAAAGATACTCGAGGAAACACCACTTCATCACTACTCATCAAGTGTAAAGGCATATATAGGATAAAGAAAAGTAAAGTTATTTAGGCAATAATAGGAATTGATCATGGCAAACAAGTTGTCCATAGTTATCCTTTGTCTTGCTTTGGTAGTGGTTCATACCACAGCAGCAAGAGAAATGCCAAGTGACAATGGTCTTTCTGACCAAAAGAATGCTTTTGTAGGCGCTGGAGGTATCGGTGGCATTGGAAGCAATGGACTGCCTTTTGGTGGAGTTGTTAGTGGAGTAGGTGGCAATGTTGGTGGATTTGGTGCTGGAATTGGTGGTGGAGCTGGATTTGGTGGAGGAATTGGGGGTGGTGGAATAGGTGGAGTAGGTAGTATTGGTGGCGATGCTGGTGCTGGTGCTGGTGCAGGAAGTCTTCCACTTCCATGAAGTTATTCATCACTTTCATGTAACTAATTTTTATTCTTATCTTCATTAGTTGAGTTTGTTTTATGCATGTTTGATTATGGTCAAGATTGCTAGCTAACTAGTGTGAGAAAAGAGTGATTTTTTTTTCTTCATTTTTTGGTTGTTGTTGTTGTTGTTTGGTTTTATCCATATTGTAATGTTACATGATTTTTTTCCGTGTTCAATGAAAGTAAGTTGTTGCACTTTTTAAAACTTCTTTTAAAGTTAGTGTTCAACGTTCCACACCTCTTTTCTCTCACTTTATTTCTTTTATTTACATTGATATGGTTGATCCAAGCGGCTGAATCTTTATGTAAAAAAATCTTATGGTTTGGTGGAGCTGACACCACAAATACAGTATTAATAATATATGAAAGAAATCATGTAGTCTAAAAATACCTAGTGGCTTGGGTTTCCAGCTGGACATAACAAAATTATTTTTATTACAATAATATATTTTAACATCGTTAATAAGAAGCAGAAAAACCGTAATATATTTGAATTCAATATATAATATATATATTATAGGTATGTTTCAATCGTAAATAACCACTATAATAAACTTAATTATGATCCATAGCTATAGTTTGCATATTTACGAGTTGTAGCTACAGTTTAAGTTGTCTCGTTTGTATAATTCACGTGTTTGTATAATTCGTGGGTTTGTATATATAATATGTGGGTACGTTTGTATAATTGAACTATTTTTGTATAAACTCGAAATAACGAATTTATACAAACACATACATCTGAACTTTAAACAGTTATACAAACTATATTATACAAAATTACATTATCCAAAAGTTATATAAATTATATTATACAAATTTTGAATTATACAAACTCGAAACTCCAACCCACGTAATTATCACTGAATGTTGGTCGCAAGTGATAATTAACTAAAACTATAGCTATGATGACTAATTAACTAACATATGTTTATTAACCATGTAATTTTATATAACTAAAACATTTTTAATACAAATGTATTATACCATTAGTGTGTATATATATATACCCTAATGGTATCAATGAGTAAATTATTAGTTTTTTCACTGAATCCCTATTTGATTCCACCATAGTATATATATACTCTAATAGTATTAAGAAGCAATTTAGTAGTTTTTCACTGGAGTGACTTTTTCTTCGTTGATACCATCAGAGTGTGTATAATATATATATATACTCTGATGTTATCAAGGAGTAAAACGGTATTTGGATTGACTTAAAAGTTGACCAAACCTAAACCCTAAACTTAGGTCAAACCTACTTTTAAGTCAATTTTTTTACTTCTAGAAATGTTTGGCAAATATAAAAATAACTTAAAATAAATAAAAAATAACTGAAAATAAGTTAGGAACTTTTTGACAAGGTTAAAAAAAATTTAATATAAGTTAAAGACCAAAGGTAGGTCTCTCATACTTTTAATTTTTTGACTTAAAATTTATTTAAGTTTAACTTTTTATTTTTGACTCAAAAACTACTTTTTAAGTCAATCCAAACAGGCTCTAACTTAATAGTGTTATCACTGAAGTGACTTTTTCTTTCTTGATACCACCAGAGTATATATATATAGTAAATGATAATAAATATAAAGTAATATTAAAAATATAATTAATCAAATAAAATATATAATTTAAATAAAAATTTGAAAGTTAATTATATTCTTAAAGGGATAAGGCACTAGTACCCCCTCTAGACTATAACCGAAATCCCAGAGACACACCTTAACTAAACTAAGGTCTTATTACCCCCTTGAACTTATTTTTTTTTATAATTTTGTACACCTTTATGGCCTACGTGGCCTCCAAATATCTCCCATGCACCTCACTTAAGTGGAGTCACGGAGTGTGCCACATAAGTCCAAAGGTGTACAAAATTACACAAAAAATGAGATTAGGGGCGTAATAGGACCTTAGATTAATTAAGATGTGTCTCTGGAATTTCGGTCATAATCTAGGGGGTACTTGTGCCTTATCCCTATTCTTAAATGAACACCAGAAATCTTAATCCAATCTTACCAAATCATGAATTGGACCGGATTGGCCCAATGAATCTAGCTGATATTAACGATTCTATGCATAATTTTCTGCGACAACCAAACCAAGCGTAATAATATCAATGAGGTGGTTGGTGTCTTATATATCCATCAATTGAAACATTAACTGAATCACATGATAGGTTACGATCCAAACCAACCAGCAGCAGTGGAATATACAATACTAGCAACAGTATACATAAAATTCGTATTTATATATATAGTTATTTTTTTATTTTTCTACTCAATGTTCGATACTTATATTGAAATATAATTAAATTCATACATATGTTTAATTTGTTTCGCTAAAATTTTGGCTTTGTACATACGTATGAATATGTTAGGTCGTTAGATTTATGAAAAAAAATTAACTTCAGAGGAGTCTCGCTTTTGGTAGGTACCCACCATATAATCAAACGTTCAGTTTAATTTAGGGATAGATGTTCGGTTCTTTAGTTCGTTTTTATTAAATTATGGTTCGTCTTTGATTTTCGATTTTGTAAAAGTGTGTACCAAATATCGAATCGAACTAATTCGGTTCGGTTCGGCTTTTATCAACATTAGTTTGGTTTGGTATTTTGAAAACGGGTTTTCAGAGCGAATAAAAATAATTAACCATGTTAAGTGATGATGATGTGTCTCACCATGGAACACTTATTGTGCTTAAAAAAAACATATTTGTCTTTCTCAAGAACATTGTACCACCAACTATTGCTCGAGGAATACAAGGATGAAGACCAATTCCTTTACATGTACATCGACAAAAATACGTTCGACCGGCTCCTCTTGGAAATTAATATTCAAAGTTAACTATCTTGATTGTAAATTTGTTGCTACGATACTTTGATTTGTTCATAAATGGTTTAATTGCTAATTGGTATATATATATATATATATATAATATTTCTATTTTTTTTTTTTAAAAAGATTAATAAAAATTTGATTCTTCAATGCACCAAAATTCCGAAACTCTTATATCGAACTGAAGAACTGATTTTTTTTTTAAAAACACCAATATCAAACCAAAAAATTAAAACTTCAAATCAATTCGAATCGATCAATTTTTTTGATTTTTAGATCCACCGTTTGGTGTGTAGTTGGGGCATGATAAATAGGAAGAGTTATAATTTGCATAGGATTCATGTTGCACAAGAAGGGAGGAATTAAGTGGATGCGATATCTTAACTAACAGCCAGCAACTTACTGACAAAAGCATTTACTACTAGCTTTTGAAGGTCTTTAGTTAGAGAAAGCATTAGCTGTCATTTTTATTTCTTTGATCTCTGTAGAAGAAGAAAATGTCATCGGAGTTCAACTGTTTCCATCTGCCCAATCATAAATTTCAAATGTTTAAATGCCTTTTAAATCCTTTTTATGGAGTTAGTTTGACAAATCAAATGCTCCCACTCTCTATAAAGGGCAGTAAATGAATTAAGGGGTCGTTTTACATACTGTTGCGTGCGTATAGTGTTTTAGTAATGATGGTATTAGTTACGTTACGTTTATATTAGTTATTTTGAAATTATTTCTTACATAATGTTCTATTGCATAAGCAATTGATTTGATGAGACGTTTGTTAAAAAAAATTGAGGTTTATAAGAAATAATTTTAATAACCTCTTTCGATACAAGTTCTTTAATTTTTACCCCTTTTGATTTGTTGGATGTGAAAAAAATGTCATTTTGGCGTCGGAGACATGAAAAAGATGGTGGAATCCTTTTGTGGATCCGGAGGTAAAATAAATTGAGCCAATTTTTGTGATTAATAACTGATTTTACCATTATTTGTTTAAAAATTTATTTGGAAAAAAATGATGGATGAAGATATGGAATTTGAAGGAATTGACAAATTGGAAAGTGAAGTTGAAGAATATAATAAAGAATTTTGATGGAAAAGAGAAAATGAAAAGAAAAGTAAAAAATAAAAAAATAAAAAAGAAAGATGTGAGCCTAGTGGTTGAAAACCAAGATACCTGATGTTTAGTTATGAGTGAAAACAAAGAACATTAGTTAATTTTTCCATCCATCTTAACCTTGATCGATAAAGTTATTCCACAAAATTAATTGATATGTGAAAAAATTGACCAGACACATATTAAAAAAAAAAGTGGTGTGAGATGAGGAAGTGGTTCCCACACTATAATGTCAGTAATAATTTCCTTAGCCAAGTATGATTTGGCATATGTCCCACACACGTAAAATAAAATTAAAAAATAGAAATTAATTAGTATAAGTAGGTTGCAGACAGAGGGTCCATAGGCCGGTAGCTCAGTAATAACTAATAGTAACCAATTGATCATCTATTTAACACAACACGTTCCTTTGACCACCTATACACCTTTCTGAAACATGACTAAAAAATAAATAGTTAATGCTCAAAAGAAAGAAAACATATACAACCTCCCACCATAAATAATTCATTTATAGCGTTTAATTTGTTTCAAAGTATTTTGGTGTTTTTAAAAAATATATATGAAGTTATGATGTTTTAATTAAGTGAAATTTTTAAGAGAGAAGCCTTAATTATATTTAAAACGGTTAAATGTGTTTCTTAAGGGATAAGGGTGTCCAAAAGTCTAAAAGACAAATAGTAGTAAGAACAAAGAGTGTGGTTAGAATAGAAGAAAATATTTTTAAAATATTTCGCTAGTCAAAAGTTTTAAAAAAATATTGTTTAAGAAAATAAAATTTCTTAAAATTAGAAAAATAACTTTTATGTAGAAATAGAAAACAAATTTCACACAGTCCTCTCACGCGCACGGAACCAAAATTTTGATTAAAAGGTGTTCAAACATAAATAAGTAAAATTGTGTAGAAGTCAAGTAGTGTCAATATGTAATATATAGACATAAACAAAAATGTATTTACCTAACTACA